AAAAAAAAAAAAAAAAAAAAAAAAAAAAAAAACGTTTTGTTACTTCACAATGCATTCACAAGTGAAATCGGCTATAGGTGCATCCAGTGCTCAGTGATTTTTTTAAAATACTTTTATTTATTCAGAAGTGGGTGTAGCAGCGGAGAGTGAGGCCATCTGGGAAGCTCCAGCTGAAATGTATGCAATAGGATTCCCTTTATGCTGAGCACCTGCGTGGCCACAGAGGGCGTGCTTTGCTCAACACATTTATTGAGCACCTGCTATGTGCCAATCATTGTTCTAGATGCTGTTATGGAACTTAAATTCTTGGGGGGAGTGGGTAGAGGGCAACAGACAAACAGGTATCTGATGTCAGGTGGCACTAAGTGCCACTTAAAAAATAGTGCAGGATAACAAGGATGGAGATCAAGTGCTGTGGAGGGCATATTCTTGGGTGTGCAGAGGCGGCCTTTCAGGCAAGATGACATTTGGTCAGATCTGAGAGGAGGGAATGAGCCATACAGATATTGTGGAAAGAATGTTCCAGGCAGGGGGAAGAGTGAGTACCTGAAGTGCTGGGCATTATATTATTGCAGCTAAGTGGGACCCGAGCACTGCTGATGACCAGAGATCTGGGTCTGTGCCTATAAAGAGGCCTGGGTACTCACTGGGAGGCAGCTTCATTGTAATGAGCACCATCCTAGGGATATAATGGTGACAAGGCAGACTAAACCTGCTCAGAAGCATTTCACAGTGTAGCCTATGGGGAACTAATTTAGCAGGAAAACAGGATTTTTTGTAATGATTCATCTTTCTCCTTGTCCCACATGCTTGGTCTTTTCTTTATGCACATGGCATTGCTAAGCCAGGCTTCCACTGACCTGCTTATGTTTGGGAATCATCATTACTTGGGGTTTCACCAAGAAGCAGATCTTAAATTCTAAAGGCAAAATTCTAGGCGTCAATTAAGTTTAGAGTAGTAGTTCTCAACCCCTGCGGTATATCAGAATCACTTTATAAGCTTTTAAATTTTCAGAGGCTGAGGTCCCACCCTAGAGATTTCGTTTCAATTAGTCAAGGGTAGGATATAGGCCTTTGGATATTTTTTTTTAAGCACTGCAGCTTTTTCTGATATGCAGCCAGGGTAGAAAACCACCAGTTTAGAAGAAGTTGTCTCACATCTCAGTAACTGCCTCACATCTAAGTAAAAGTGATGTAATGTTTCCCAGGATTATTGATTTCCAATAAGATTCCCTTGCAGAGGATTCTGGCAACACTGTACATATTCCTACAGCAATTCAGTACACATTCCAAACAATTCAGTGCTGATAGCTGACATTTTCAAAGTCACTGGGGAAGAAAACCGAATTTATCCCAGATGGTAGCTTTCCTACTTGTCCCTGATTTCCTGGTGAATTTACCTGTCATTGTCCTACAAGGTGAATCTAAAGATTGCTTTGTTTACATGATACGGTTGGGGTGTTGGGCTACTCCATTGCATGCAACAGAAAGAGAACACACTGTTAAACACACACTGTTTAACAACCAGAATCGTGACTCTGACAACTCTCCAGGGCTTCCACGAATGAACTTAACTGGGTTTCAGAAAAGGATTTCCTGACTACCTAGAATTTTTTCATCACTAACATTTCTTTTCATATTTTGGAAATATTTTGGAAGAATATTTTAAAAGAAATTTAGTTTACTTAACAGATTAAAGAATAATTCATTTTTCCCTTTTAGAATGTTATGTATACACACATACCTGATGCTTTTGATGAGTTTCTACCCTCTATTGCCATTTTGCCTTCCCAAAAGCAAAAACATTTACTCTGAAAGTTACTCTGTAAAAGTTAAATTTTTACATGGCTTTTGAAATTCTACCTTATGGACACTATTACTTCCTTCAAAGACCTTTAATTAGTGATCATGGCCTAGAAAGTTGAACTCCAGTTCTTTGAGTCAAGATGAGCCAAGGCAGGTCCAATAATAAAGCCATATGGAAAGTACTTCTGGCTAGAAACAATAGATTGATACGCCACTTAGATATTTTGTTTGCTTCTTAAATGAAATCAATCTAGATGGCTGATACTTTAGAACATAGGTCCAAGATACACCCTCTGGCTGGAATCTATCTTCCAAATTCAAAACTTACTCAGGTTTAAATACAAGTGGTAAGTCAGGAAATTCCATCCCATTTCCCCATCTCTGGCATTTTAGAAAGGGCAGTGAGTTAACTCACTGAAACTCAGAAAAAGAATAGTGCCTATTTCAGCAGAACTTTTGGGGGTGTGCCTGGTCATGTAGGCAATTCCAAATTGTGATGACAGAGCCAACAATAAAGAAATGAATGCTAAATGGGGCAGATTAGAGGCATGCCTTTTATACTTGGCCAGTGCCTGATAGCCATGAACCAAGCCAAAGGCCTTATTTCCTGACACAAACTAAAAAATACTTCAGAAATTTATGGGATTAAAAAAAAAAAAAAAAAAAAAAAAACCTAATTAGGAGTATTTGGTTAGGTAGACCTGGATTATAAATGTTTTTGTACTTTGAAACATAGTTTCTGTCTTTCTCTTTTTGTTGCATTCAGTCCTTTGATCACTTACTAACAATATTTGTACTGCTGTTAAGTTTCCTTCTTTAGCCTTGTCTCCCTGCCAAAAATCAATATAAATTAGAAATGGTATTAGGAGTAGGTGTGATCTAGAAAGGAAATACTATATTAAGAAGTCTAAAAGGACATAAAACCCAAGGATACTATCTATTGTGCTCGGATTGTTAGAATGGGAGAAGGAATATGGAGAAGGCACCAAATTTATCTTTACTAAAAATACAGAAATACATGCTGGCCCTGTGATGGAGAATGCATGTGGAAATCTGATCCCCAATGTGGCAGTGTTGGAAACTGTTTGAGTCATGGGGGTGGATCCTTCATGAATGGATTAATGCTCTCCCGGGCAGGGCGGGAGGAGAAATAAACCACTCAGTTTAAATCCTGAAGTTTAACTTTGGTCTCCTATCATGTCTTTGATGCTTCAGTAGATTATCGGTAAGCTCCATGGAGCCAAGGCTCTTGTCTGTTTTTGCTCCTCACAATGCCTGGTGCATAAAATATACTCAATAAATACATGCTGAGGCAAGTTGATGTGGAGGGGGTGAGAGGAGGAGGAAAAGGAAAGGATTAAGTCCAAGCTCATTGGCATGACATACTAGATAAACGGCCCTGGCTTTGTTACCAGTCACTCTTCTGCCTAGGTCCTTGAAGACCTCTGTGTGGCCTGCCGTGTCATACCTTGATGCCTTCACACACTTCACACTCTCTGCTGGACATGTCCTTCTCCTCCTAATTCACTTGGTGAAATCTTAGATACCATTTTAAAACCCTTCCTGGATATGGACATCCCTAAATCAGTGCCAATCACTCCTCCCTTTATACTATCTGTACCTTGTACATACATGTGTCAAGTTTCCCTTTCATTTATATTCTAAATCACTGCTAGAGGTTTCAATTAATGGTTTGTATATGAGCTCTTCAAAGGTAGAAACAGTGGCTTCAACCTCTCTGTATTTCACTAGCAGAGAGGACAGAGCACACACTGATTCAACATTCACCGATTCATTGTTCTTATTGAGTACTGCCAGACACTGAGAATAAAACAGTTTACAAAACAGATTAAAAACCCATGCCCTCATGGAGTTTATATTCTAGTTTTAGAAGAAGGATAACAACAACAACAAAAAAAACTAGTGATTAAAATACATAAAAGAGCACTGGGAAAAAAGATGAAGGGAGAGAGAGAGAATGAGCATGTGAGCACATGCACACACCTACTGAGGAGCCATCTGAGGGAAAAGTCTTCCCAGCAGAGGGAACTGCAAAGTGCAAAGGCCCTGAGGTGGGTATGTATCTGGCTGTCTGGAACACTCATGGAACAACGAGGAAATGTAGCAGGAGCAGAATGAGCAAGGGGAGAGCAGTGAGAGATAAAGGTAAGGGAGGGGTGGAAGGTCAGACCATAGAGGGTCATACAGGCCACTATAAGGACTTTTGTTTTTACTCTGAGTGAAGAGAGAAGTCATTGTATGGTTCTAAACAAAGGGATGACAAGCTTCAGCTCACAGTTTCACAGGGTCATTCTGCTGACTTGAGAACAGACTTTAAGGGAGCAATGAAAAAAGCCAGGAGACCAGTCAGGAGGCTATTGCAATAATCCAGGGAAGAGACGATGGTGTCTCAGACCAAAAGGATAGCAGAGGATGTGTGAGAAGTAGTTAGGTTCTGGATATATTTGACAGTGTAGACAACAGCATTTAGATGTGGGATGTAAGAGAGAAAAAACAGTCAAGGTTACTCATTGATCTGCGGGTAACAGTCAAGGTTATTCATTGACCTGGGGATAAAGGGTCTTGGGACCAAAAGATGAAGAAGCTATTACTTATGGTCAAGTAAGATTAGGACTGAGAATTCACCTCTGGATTTAGCAACATGAAAGTCCCTGGTGATCTTGACATGACTACTTTTGGTTGATGTGGTGTGGGTGAAAGCATAACTAGAGTAGGCTCAAGAGTGGGAGGAGCACACTGTACACAACTCTTTCAAGGAGTTTTGCTGTAAAGAAAAGCAGAAAAATGAGACTGCTAGAGGGGAATGTGAGGTCAGATGTGAGGAGAAATAACTGTGTTTTTACATGCTAATGGAATTTCCATGACAACAGGAAATACTGATGAGGAGAGAGGCAAGGACAGTTATAGCCATGCCTGGGTAGTTTGAGTGGGGAGGGGAGGGGGAATAGGACCTAGTGCCCAAGTGGGTGGGTTGGCCATAGCTAGGAACATAGTATTAGGAGAAAAAGCAGAACATTCAGGCAAACATGCAAATGGGGATAGGTGTGGAGGTGGGAACTCTTGGACACTCTTCTTTTGGCCTCTATTTTCTCAGTGAAACAAGAAAGCAAGTTCATTGGGGGGGAGGTTTCGGTAATGGGCCACAATCATCAACCACATTGTATATCGACAAAATAAAATTAAAACAACAACAAAAACCCCTGGTCATTATATTATAAGCATTCCACCGGAAGACTGTTTTGAAAAGAGGATGAAAATGATGATGGAGGTGATGAGATAACTAATACTGACTTGGTGCTTCCTCTGTGTCAAACACACAGAGAAATAAGTTAACTTTCCTAATGCTACATAACTAATGAGTAGATATACATTTTTAAGGCTTATCAATCATTAAGAATATTTCACAAATCTCATTTTAAATGAGTAGAATTTGATCACATGAACACATTATAATTTACAATATTGTTAAATATGGCAATATGGGGCCAGCTGATCACGAATTGAGGGTGGGAGCAGTCAGCAGGGCTATGGCCAAGTTCAGCTTATGGATGCAGGTGCAGGAACTGGATTATCCAGGGTTGAGGTTGTACAAAGCAAATATAACAAATATTTACTGACTTGAATTGAACAGAATGAAACTTTTTTGCTGTCATCATTTAGACATCAGAGGGTCATTTTCTCTTGGGAACACATGCCTGCCCACCAAGGTTTTGTCATCTTCAAGACAAAATCCACAAAACCCAGTATTCTGTAATACTCACCGCCCTTCAAATCTGTGTTTTAAAAAATCAAACAACGCTTTTTGCATCATATCTGTGACCTGCAATTGAGCAAGCAATAAATTAAGATACTATAAAAATATGACTAATTATGATAAAACAAATTTCCTTCTCTTAGGAGAGATTGAAAACCTTAGCTTGGCATTTGAAAAAAGTAGGATGTGAGTTTGCCACATTTTTCTGAGTTCTGATACAGTGACAATTAAAAAGACAAAGTTCCCTGAATTTATCATGATGTTTTAGTGACAAGAAATTACATTGCAAGTGGTTTCAGTCACTCTCCATTTGATACTATTTCCTGGACTGAGTAAATTGAAGCTAGCAGAAATCTCCAAAGTAACAGCCAGGAAAACAAAACAGAACAAAACTCTAAGCAATGTATACCACAGCTTGAAAAACAACATGCTTTGGGCTACAAGCTCTTAAAGTTATAAATTGGAGAGTCAGTAGTGGGGGGTGGAGTCTCAAAGCAGTCCAGCTTGTGAAGGTCAGGTGTGCTGCAGAGGGTATACTCACCTCGTACCCCTTCAGAGAAGGGCCCACCAGGACCACTGGTCGCATGGAAGGTACCACATCATAAGGAGAAGTGTGCTCTGTCTGCAGAGAGAGGAGAGACTCTCAGATGTTTCATACGCGGGGGGAACTTAAATATTTTATGTATAAGGTTCTTTTTCTGAACTCTGTATAATTGTATAGTAATATGAGGCACTGGCTTTCCAGACATGCAGAGAGAGGAGAGACTCTCAGATGTTTCATACGCGGGGGGAACTTAAATATTTTATGTACAAGGTTCTTTTTCTGAACTCTGTATAATTGTATAGTAATATGAGGCACTGGCTTTCCAGACATTTTTTTTTGTATTTTTACTTGCCCCTTTTCTAAATAAACCCAATCAAAGATTGTTGGGTTTATTTTCCTATAGTTTTCAAGTTACTGAATTTTCTAGTTTTCTTCCTTTTCTCAAGAAATGCTGCTGGCAGATTAGTTCTTAAAGCAGGAGGTGCTGCTTTTGAACAAACAGAAACATGCCTCATGCAGAATAAGTGATTTAGGCTTGACTGGGAGTTAATACTGCTTTTCAATGCATGTGCATTTTCCAAACAGTTGAAATGATCAGATCTAACATGGTTAATTACAGAGGAAAGAAAGATTTCATTACATTTGCATCTTAAGTGTTTGCTTTTCTTACCTGCATAAAACCTAATTTTAAAACTTGCAACTCTCACTACCACATACTTGAAAAATTCTGTTATATTGTGAGAGTTTAAATTAATATGCATGCTTGTTCCAGTAAACAGTAATCATGACCACTGTTTACAGCTTAGTGATTAATGTTTTTGGATTTTTGGTGTCTATTCCTTGGTGCTTAAAAACAAACATAAATTGTCAGGTTTACGTGCCTTGAAGGGAAGGTGGTTAATGTGTAATAATATATTCAACCATGCTTCAGTGACCTCAAAAAGTTCATTATCAACTTGCATATTTAACATGCTTCTCCAAGTAGTTTAGGTAGTGTTTCTGCTATATAACTAATTTGTGTCTTTCTGCAATAATTTATTTCTTTTTTGGAAGAACAGGGAGAGGAGCTAAAGTTTGTAGCAATTTCTAAAATTATCAATGTTTTTCAGCTTAATTGCTTCAAATAAAATGATTAAAATATATTTAAAAAATAGATAACTAATTTGTTTAATTATATTAAGATTGGCTCTTTTGACAACAGAAAATATTAAATTGACCAGAAATGACTTCTTTTTAATGCAGAAGACAGATGTGGCCTTACTGGAATAAGTAAATCATTGTTACATGAATCTTTCTGCATTAAGGAGTGTCTGAAAAATGTATTTTAAGAATCACATGCACCAAAAGAAAAATATCCTTTAAACTTAAGGATTAAACTGATGTGTAAATGTAAATGTAATTTTTGCATCAGCCTATCACTCAAGAACATTTTATTGTTGCTTAAAATTGCCCATTACAGTCTTTCTGGCTCTGTTTGAATTTAAGTTGCTTAAATGAGAAATTAAAAAGCATTTCAAATTTAAAACCTTCCTTCTGAGATTTCTCTGGTAGTCATAGACAATAAAATCAGAGGGGAGAAAAATATTAAAGTGACTGTGCTGTCAAATTTTACTGTGTACAATTTTACCTGGCATTCAAAACTAATTTTTATAGACATAATAAAGGTAGAATATATTTTTGTACAGAAAAAAAAAAAAGACAAACATAATACAGTGACAGCACAAATGCCACACAAGCACCACTCTAAAAGCAACCTAAAACATGGAAAACAATCTTATCATTGAATCTCAGGATTTTTTGTTTGTTTTTGAACTCTACATTGAAGTTTACCACATAATTGATAACATAAGAAGAATGAATACCAGTGCCGAAGGCATCATAAGCATATTTATTAAATTATTACATTTATATCACCTGGGATACTGAAAAAGTTTAGAAGCCAAGTCCTTGTAACTATGCAGTGTAAGAACACCTTGTCCACCATTATAATTAGGAATATAAATTGCATGCATTTTAGTAACAGCTACATAGAAATGTTATTTCAAGTCTTTAAGTCTTAAGTGGCCCAGTATTTGATAAGTTTTTGGTTACTTCCGTCTGTGACTGCCAACTAGCAAAGGGTTACCCATGCTAGTAATCAATCAGCTTCTTAATCAATAGGGTAGCTACAGAAATTACCTTATTTGATGGAATATTGATACTTTGTGCCCTATTGATAATGACATCATCGTTTTTATTACTTTTTACTGCTAACCCTATTTTGCTTGAATTATTTAGTGAAAAAATTGTGATAAACTTTGGAATGTTTTAGAATTTATAGGTAAGCAAACTTCAAAAAACTATCTTGACTAACATGGTTTTAGTTCATGTTTCTACTTTGCAAAGTCCAGAGTAGCTCAGCAATGCTAATTTTCTATGTTTCTGAACTATGGACACAGTCACTTGGCTGCAAGTTTTAGCTGTGATGAGAACACAAGACCCAAGAGAAGGGCACACTGTTGTGAGTGGATATCAAGCTGGGACTATCACTGTTAACACAAAAATCCAAGTGTTTTAATTTTTGCCTGGAGTGCTGAGCTCCTCCCTCATTAAAGTAACCATAATTTATTTAAAAAACAAAACAACTTTACAGTTCAGTATCTGACTCTTCATCAATGACTTTAGAGTTACTCCACAGAACAAAATACATGTTTGCAGAGGAAAAGAGTTCAGTTATGTTGAGAGTCTGGGGTAGAGAGTAGTCTTTACTTCATATTTATATGTCAGAATATACCCACAGTTGTGCCAGACTTGGTGACATTAGGGAGTATAACTCCAAAAGACAGCATAGTAGCTGTGGAAAGTGGTGTGTAAAAGAAGAGAAAAAATGGAAATTTGGGGGTGGGGTGGGGAGTGGTCCTTAAAAAATAATGCTTTGGAGCTACAAAATGTGCTGAGAGGAAACAGACTTTGTCTGGAGTAAAGAGAACTCAGGAATACCCTATAGTTTCCAGTCAGGGGACAAGTAGCATCATTGTGTAGCACCTTGGTTGGCCAATGGCAAAGGCTCTACATATGGCCACCAGCCCCATTGTCCAACAGGTGAGATGCTGAAATCTGACTGATGGAGAAGGCAAGAACATTGGGAGAGTATTTATATATGACAATAGGAAAAACTCACAGTAAACCGCCAAAACAAGCCTGCAGTTTTCCACTGGTCTTGTTCATCTGCAGATTTTGCACCTAGTGGATTAGAAGTTTAAATACTGACTAAATTAAAAATTGAATACTTTTTTTTTTAGTACAAGCTATGTATCTGGATATCATAAATCAGATCTAATAACTGCTTTAATATGCTTGATTATAAGTTAAATTTCTGGAAAAAAGAAAGAGACAAAAGACAGACAGAGTAAGCATGCACAATAGAGGTGCATTATATGGAATTGTCAGTATCTGACATCCTTGAATGTTTAAACAAATTCCCTTGGTGGTAGATATTATTCCATCAAAAAGGATAAGTACTGTAATGATGTTTTACCAGGTCACTCACTGAATTTAGTTGGTTTTAAAGGCATGGACTCAATTAGCTGTTGATAGGTTTTTTTTCCTTAGGGCAGAAATGATTATATTTCATAAAACTGTGGGAATTAATGCTAATGATGCCAGTGGCAGGATAAACACAGCTTATGTCAATGTAAACTTACCGATTTCTGCTTCTGCTTAGCTACAGCAGCATGGAAGAGAAACAAAGAATAACAGAGCATGCATGTTATTGGCTTGTCAAAGGACGCAGACAGTCAACAGGACTAGAAATGTGACGCAGTGCAGTCGAGCAGGTGGACAATGCAGCTTGGAAGTTAATGTTACCTTCTTAAAGAAGGGCATTCTTTTCTCTTTGGAGTGGGGTGACGTTACACTGTTTGCACTGGGTTTAGGGGAGCGGTGGTTTGCTGGAATATCATTTTCTTCTGCATCTAAGCCAGTAGCATCTATGTCTATAGCTATATACAGACAAACAATTCAAAAATCATCAGATGGACAGAAAAGGAAAAGCAGGTTATAAAGAAAATAAAATGAAAGCAAACAAAACTAACCATAGTAAAAAATCTATGAGTGTTGAACACAGTACACAAAGTAAAATTCAAAGGTAAAGCATGTTAAGAATGCAACGTAATCAAATCTAGCAAAACTGGAAGATACCCTCATAATATCTGTTTGCTTGAACAAATCAGTTTCATGGTAGATCCCTTAAATATTTTTAGAGAAACATTTTTAATTTGTAATTTCAAATATAATGTTGATATTCTCCATATCAGAACATTTGGCTTCACTTCTTACAATATCTTAAACTAGCTTTTAGATAATAAACAACTACATTGGAAACCTTTATCACAATGTGCTTCAGATTTCTCATGTTGTTTGATTTTGTGTTAAAATACAGGCAATGTGAAAAGGATCACTGTAATTGTAACAGGCATTTGAGGGAAAAAGAATAGAAATTCCTCAATCCCGGCAACACAAAGGAGTCATACACAAGGCAAATGATTGAGGGAGGGTTCCAGAAAAGGATCACTGTAATTGTAACAGGCATTTGAGGGAAAAAGAATAGAAATTCCTCAATCCCAGCAACACAAAGGAGTCATACACAAGGCAAATGATTGAGGGAGGGTTCCAAGATGGACAGGATTAAAATGATTTCAAGATATGTGCACCCTCAGACAGGCCTGACTGAAGAGTAATTGGAAAACACTGGATCCGATGATAGCCAAATGTTAATCTAATAAAATGACATAAGACAACTTCAGATGACTTATAAAAGCCACTGGATTTAAAATAAGAGGCAGAGTGGAAGGGCACAAAGATTCAAAAGAATATGCCTCTGCTTCCTCATCTGTAAAATGAAGGGTTTAGGTTTGTTGCTCGACATGCCTTCACTTGTCAAATCTTTTGACCTGAAAATATAACACTTAAAAAGTGTTAAACAAACAAACAAAAAAAAGCATAATCTCAAAGTTTACAAAATGCTTCCACATGCAATCACTGTAAAATTTTTATCAACTGTAGAATCAGAGCAGGAAGTATTTTAAAGATCAACTTAAACTCTTATTTTTAAGATTTAAAAGATAAATTCGAAGTGTTTAAGGGACTTGTTCTTGGCAAAAACTCAGCAGGGCCAAGGCTCAGAACCTAGGTGAGGCCATACCCCATCCCTATAGCACGCTACCCCGCCAGGCGAGGTCCCTTTCAACCTGGGTGCACTCTTTGAGTTCTCTTTGCTTCCCCAGTGGGGTCATGTCCTTGCTGTCTGGATTCAGGAGGATATCATAGAGTTGAGCTCCCTAGAAAATTATTCTATAGTTGAGATTAGGTCAAGGAGAAGAAAAGAAAATTTACTCACCCCAGGAAAACATCACATTATACATGTTAGCTCTCTAACAAAAACCACAGTACATTTAAATAAAGGAATGAACGACCATTTTGAAATAATGGCTTGGTGTTGCCAGACAGCCACCATTCTCTGTGATATGCCAGCTGAACTTGTGCTCATGACAGCCTCTCCTAACCTTTTCAAAACACGGGAGATCATCTGACAGGTATCACATTATTTTTCCATTTTGAAGTTATAGTAGATATTAGATGATTCAGCCTTTTGAAAACTAGGATCTCTTATTTAATTGTTCCTTTTCACTTGATTAGATAAAACCTGTGATGGAATGAATACCCAGCATTGTTTGCACAATATTGCAAATATCAGCTATTGCGTGCATAATAGATGAGACATGATTTTCTATCAAGTGAAGGTAATAATGGACTGAACTGATTCCAGGTATTTACGTAGGCTTACCTAGTAAGTATATCTTTCTCTTTGCCTCATCTATGCATATTGATAAGCTGAAAAGTTCAGTGTCTGGTGTGGGGGGAACATTATAAAATGTGCCCAGGAGTTTGAAACAACACTGACTTTTATACCACCCTTTGCTTGTATAGGAACATTTCCTTACAGGGTTTATTGAATGTCATAAGCCTGGGAAGAGTCTGAAAAAACAGTCTAGAGGAATTCTCTTCCTTGAGTCCCAACTCAGGAAGTATGTCATTAGCTGGATATGAAGGAGAGAATCTGGGGCAGTATTTTATTATTCCTGTGTCTAAACTAACATCAAATACATTTCCCTTTTGGTGGTAAATTCCTATATGCTTTTCTCTCTCTCATCTTTTATTAGGCTTATAAAGGCCACATTTGAGGGACAGTACCTTCTGAGAGCCCTTCTGAAATTGAGGCTACCCAGTTGGATGTCAGAACTGACAGGACTCTGGGATGGTAAAATTCATATATCGGATTTTATGATCTGTCCTTTGAATCCATTCTGCTGTGATCATGGGATGATTTTTTTTTTTTTTAAGAAAGAATGGAAATGCATAAAAGAATGGAAATGAATAAAAGTTTAGCTGTGACATTGCCCAGATGTTTGACTACCCATACATCTAGCCTAGTCAGGTTTGAAATTTACCTGTATTTGGACACAAGGGCTCAAAATTTCAAAGTAAGAACTTTGCAACTTACTAGTTCTGACTTTCGAGTAACTTAAATCTTTTTAAAAGCATCTGGGTTCATTCTCAAACATAGAGAATTCTAAAATATGTGGTAACCTTCAGGACTCATTACAGAAACTCAACAAGACAGTTAAGAAGCATTTTCAGTCACCAAAAAAAAAAAAAAAGCATTTTCAACTCTTTTCAGAATTTTATATACTTTATTAGATTCAGATGGTTCTCCTTTTACTGAGATGTTACCACTTTTTAATTTCATACTTCTGTTACCATACCTTTGCAAACAGTATTTACTTGGGAAAAACTGCTTTCATATATTTGGAAATAGTTTCTTTCATTCTTTCTCACTAGCATGCATGTAGTTTTAGTTTTTTATTTGTTTGTTTTTGTTTTGTTTTGGTAGAAAGCCTTGGGAACATTTTCTGAAATTTAAATATCTTAGAGCTGGGGTTAAGTGAGTTCAGTTCAGGGGCGATATGTCTGTACACATGTGTAGGTGTGCTGTATGTGTTCACCCAGAGGCGAAGTGGCAATTTTTCCTTTTCCGAGTCCTTGAGAACATTCAAGTGTATTTACTTTAGGCAGATGCTTATATTCTGTGGCCTAGCAATGGGTGAGAGGAATTGTAAATAGGGCCTCTGGGAAACACAGATGATGGAAATTATCACTGCAGGCCAATCCACACTAGATAGGTGGGGCCCTTGTCATGGAGGTGGATTGGCGGAACTTCCCTCTAGAATTTTCTACATTTTCCTTTAGATCAGTTGAGCTGTTGATATGAAAGTTATCCCAGAGTCCTGGTGTGCTTCTTGTACATTTTGAAGTTGGTTGGTTGCATCTCCACTCCACGCAGTCACGAGTGTTTTCTCCTCTTGGGATTCAGAAAAGTTTATATAAAACTCTGTATAAAACTTTGGTGAAGTTTTAAATCATTGTGTTTGTTGTTGTTGTTGTTGTTGTTGTTGTTTTTATAATAAACTCTTATGATAAAACTCTGTATAAAACTTTGGTGAAGTTTTAAATCATTGTGTTTGTTGTTGTTGTTGTTTTTTTATAATAAACTCTTATCGAACTATATTTCTAGTAATGACAAATATCTGGCTACAAAATGAAATGTCATTTTACATATACATTAACTTATTCTTCAAAATGCATGCACTTCCTGTCATTATATTGCCTCTAGAAGGCATTATAAAACCTTTACTAGGTTTTATAATGAAGAAACCATTATCAAACCTTTCTCATTATAAAACCTTTAGAAGGCTACAGTATGGTTAGAGGGAATGGAGAATTTTCCTGGTCTAAAGAAGTAGGGCTTTATCACAGTGTAATGTAGCATATTTTTCATTTTATGAGCTTAGAAACAGTCCTTGGGAGACTGCCTTTAAGACATATAGAAAGAGTATAAGGTTTACATTGTAATCCCTGCAGCTTCACACATTTGAGAAGGAGCAGGATAAGGCTCCTTTCCCCTGTGCATTCAGAGGATATCTACTTGATGATCAAGGTTAGATACAAGACTCACATAAAGCTACAAATGGCTTCAGTTTTCATTTAAAGCACACTATTTTACTTGATTTTGAGCAGCTCAAAATTACATTTAATTTGTAAGCTCACAGTTGTTAAAATAACGATCATGGGCTTTCATGCAATTCAAACAATTAATCTCCTATTTATATAGAATTTCAAGTTCTACACAGAATGATAGACTTGCCAGATGTAGGAAATAAAAATGCAGTTAAATTTGAATTTTAGATAATAATTTTTTAATGTATGTCTTATAAGTTTTTAGTATGTCTCGTGATATGTACTTAAACTAAAAAATTATTTGTTATTTATCTGAAATTTAAATCTAATTGGATGTTCTTGATTTTATCTCGCAGCCCTAAGAATGAATCCAGTGCTTTGGAAAGAAAATAGTAGTTACTTTCCCATAAGTGTTTTCATCTTTTTTCAATACTTTCGTACATCATCTGTGTTTTCTAAGAGCCTTTCTAGTATAGCTCAAGGCAGGCCAATCACTCCATCTTGACTTTGTTCTCCATCCTTCACCTTTCTAAAGTTTTTATCCTTCTTTTTAAATTTAATATTGAAGGCTACACCTCACATAGCACTGTGGTTGTTGGTGGACGTTCAGTCATTTACTGCCCATTACAGTGTGCTGGGCACCATGGTGGGGACTTGAGATAAAAAGTTAAATATGCTCAGCACTTTGACCATCTACCATAATTTAAACACACTGACACACTTCTTTTTTTTAAAGCCAGAAAATAAATTTCCCCCTGTTGTTCCTACTTACGGGCATTCTTATTTCTGATCTCTTTTAACATCTGTAGGGTTAACATAGTGATTGAGTGTATGTAAATTCACAAAACTAGGTAAGACTGGGGAAAGCATGAAATGCAATATGTACTGTTCAGCACTTATCACCTACTTACCAGATGATGGAGGTGTAGATTTTCTGGAACTAGGTACTATGTCACCCAAACTGGACGATGAATTTCCTCCTGATTTACTGGAGTAAAGCAAAAATTTATATTAAATCTGACACTTATTTCAGATGCTAAAACATTTATATTGCTCAATAAATAAAATTGTGCTTTCATTGAACCTTAAATTTATCTTTCTTACAAAGAGGAAAACAGCAGTTTCCCAGTGGAGATTCCTGGAGTACTTGAAACAGCCATGCGATGGTCTGTTTTCAAATTCAAGTCTTAATTTAAAATGGCCCTGAGAGAATGGAAGAGAAATAGAGTAATTTCTGTAGCCCTCAAGTTTTCTGCCCAGATCACAGATAGTCAAACAGCAGGGATTTCCTTTGCTTTTTATTTTAGCGACCCTCAGAGTGTGTAGAACCTCAAGGCTAACATTGAAAGGTAATGTTTCCTTCTTGTTTGGTTCCTGCTCCTCTGTCTTTGCTTGATTATTTTTATTATGCTAAGACTGAAAGTACTCAAGCTTTCATGGGCAACCTATAAAAGAAAAACACAGCAACACCAAAACTTGCAAACCTTTAAAAGACACAAGAAAAATCACGACAAAAATATTATATGATTTAACCATCAGATAGTACCTGGAACATTTCTCAAGCATGAATAGTATAGAGGATTAAACTTGGTTAATTTAGGAACATTTAGAAGAGCATACACTTCTGAACTACCAATTCTAACGTTTGATACAAGATATGCAAGATATATATACTTCAGTGTCTTAGAATCCTTAGAGTTAATATTAGAACAGTATCCATGTTTTTTACCAGTGTAGAAGCATGCTAAATAATATATTACTAAATGACCCCTTCACAGAAGAAGATGGCAAGGAACATCTTAAAAGAACAACACGGAATTTGGGCAAGATAATCTCACTGCCTAATGTTTATTATAATGGCTGAGCCAGGGTCTAGTTGAAAGAATTTGCTACATGTCCACGCAAAGGGCGATATTTAGTTATGAAAATATTATTGTGAAAATATAAGTTCTACTAAAGTATCAGTAACAGGCTGAATTTTATTGACACTATTCTAGCATTTTAATGCATAAAACAAACATCAAAAACAACTATCAGAAGGGCTCTATATCTTTTTAAGGTTTTTAAGAGATACTCTAGAACATTTAATAAGGACAACAGACAGTACATAAAATTAATAAAAAGTGGTATGTATAGAAGCAATTTCTGGCAGTTATGCAAGGTTACCAATTATCATGACCAAAACATTTTCTTCCAGAAGTTTTATTGTTTTGTTTTGTTTTCCTTTTTCTAAAGTACTAAGTCTAATTTCAGTTCAAGCATGGGTTTGTTTTACATTCTCTTGGAATTTTGATAAGTCAAAATATTATTTGAGTTGTATAAAATTGTGACAAACATTGGAAATAGTTGAAATGTTCAGGATGCAGATTTGCCCTTAACTTTTAATTCTATAAAAACGCCGAGTTTTTGAACTATACCCTATTTCTATTGCCTTTGATGTCTTGATAGAGTTTTTGAACACGGCTGGATTCTGGTTATGTCCTCAGAACAAAACTATATGTAAAATGTTAGGATACAAATGTAAAAACCTGTGAAATAAATTAAGTAAAACTGTTTTCATGTGGGTAGGGAAAAGCTTAGATAAAGAGACAGGACAAAATAAAATCAAGAAAATCAAAGGGAAAGGTATGCACCTATAAGAAAAGGTAATTCAGTTCCCTAGAGTAAGTTGTGAGATATTACACTCCCCAAATATGGGTAATTTATAGTCCATTTATATCTCTTTTAAAAATGCAATAGCAAAACAATATATCCAATAAAGTAAATAGTAACAGATGCAGTAACAAATTGTTCTGTGCTCGCTGTGCCAGGCCCTGGCTCCTTGATTTGCATTCTAGCATGGTAATCTGTCTGAGGTCAGGCTTACTTGCTGTGTGACCTTGGTCAAGTAGGGAACTTCTCTTAGCCTGTTTCCTCATCTGTGAACGGGAGGCTCTAATACCTACCGTCCCCACATCTCCCTATAAAACTGAGCTGAGCACTAACTCTAGACCTAGGTGCCCAGCTGGGAGGCACAGGAGATTGTGTTTTCCTACCAATTTTGACAAAGATTTCTACTCCTTTAGAAGTAGTTTTCATTTCTCAGTTTGTATATGAGGAAGCAGAGAAAGATACACAAGGCTGTCTCTGCAAAAATCCATCCCAAATGTTCCAAAATGCATTCTACAGAACACTATTCCTAAGACTAAAACCAAGAGAAGTTTTTATGCGAAAGTAATTTTAGTACATACATGAAAAATACTCCCATTCCACTACACATATTCACAGCACACATTAACATATTAAAGGCTCTGAAAAATCCTAAAATAACTTTCTGTTACTTAGTACTATCCTGAACTCATTTGATCATAGAACCCCTTCCCTAAGTGATTTGACAAGAAAACTCTAGGAAATTCTTAATTATCCTTAAGAAACAAAAAACAAAACAAAATGTTCCCCAACTGAGATAACTTCAAAACTCAACAAATTATATACTAGCTGGTTGTTAACAGCAGTGTCTATGTCCTATGAAAATGAAATTTTTCCACATTATAAGATTTTATTAACTGGTGTTAAGATACCATTATCACTACGGAGTAGAAAAATACAATAAAGCCAACGGGAACACTAGCGATTCAAAGAATAGTATCAGATCTTTAAAAACCCTGCAGGCAAAATGCATATGCATTATTTATCTATATGCCTCTACTTTTATATGACTCGACTAAATGCATCTCACAATCCGAGCACTCCCAATAACCTAGGAATTAATGAAAGTCAACTCTGGGGTAGAGGTATCAAAACACAGAGGAATCCATCTGAAATAAATGAACTTGACAATTATAAAATGCTAGTTAATGAGGATGGGTGCTCCAAACCACAAAGCAGATTCTATTTCTCTCATCTCCTGACAGTTGACAAAAATCCTTGCTAACATTAAAATATCATCACTGGCACAAGAATTCGCATCATTATATAAACAGATAAGATATAAGCCAGAGAAAACAGAAACCTAGCTCTTCACATTAAAGAAAAGTCTTGCTCATATCCCATCCTTTCACATAGGGAGAAGCATGCTACATCCTTGGACTTGACTTGCCTGCACAGGGTTCAATTTCAAATTCACTACATGCATGATTAGCCCTTCTAGTGATTCTTTAGTGAGGGGCCAACAACCTCAAGAATCCAAGGCAGGATTATTCAGCCCCAGCCTATTACATAACTCATCTAATTGCTATGTACAAAGGCAATTTTAACTCGTTTAACTCTGTTTTTCTCTTTAAGTGCTTAACAGTGAGTAGAACTGAAAAATTGAGTTTCTCAGGTAAAAATGAAACTAACAGATGACAAGAGCTGCTACTTGCCAATGATGTTTGACGCCGTCATCTCTAAAATGTTTCTCTGCATGCCAGGCAGCTACAGACACCAGGATTAGTCACCATGGCTATTTCATGCCAGAGAGTTTTCAGTAAATGATTAGGACTTCAGAATTTCTGAAGCCTAAATTTAATACTCTATGCCCTTAGCTATTTTCATTAATGACAATAATTAATTTCTCTCCCAAACAGGATGAAAATCAGATGCTGGAATGAAGGTTTTAAAAAGAAGAGTCTGTGATACCATCAATAAATCATATCCCCAACTGAATTTTTAACACATAACAAAGATTGTAGAATACAGCAAACAATAGTACATAAGTGATGATAGAATCTGAACTTTTACAAAAACACTTCACATTTTTCTCATACCTGGAGTAGAATTTCCCTTGCTTGGCTCTCTGTTCATGCTGTAGCCTCATGTTTTCTAGTTTGACTGGGCTTGGAATGAATCCGATTTCACAGCCTTCTTTAACCAGTCGCCCTATCCACCAGTCATTGTTAAATTTCTAAACACAAAATCAAAAGTATTAAAATCAGCGCACTTCTGCCAGGTTAGCTCAGTTGGTTAGAGTGTGGTGTTAAAACACAAAGGTCAAGGGTTCTGGTCCCTATATAGGCTAGATGCCAAAACAAAAACAACAAAAATAAAATTAAAAATTGAAAAATAAAATCAGTACACAGAAGTTCACATCTTTGAATCATTTTTCTTCCACATTAACTACTTTGAGTGGAGAGAAATATGGCAATTACAATGAACTATGCCTCAAATATTACAACTCAAGAAACCCTTCTCAGTTCATGGATTTAGCCCATAAGAGTGCAATATTTTTGTTGTGTTCAGCAATCCATTGAAAGCTCTACACTTCCTTCTTTTTCCTGGTAAGACCAGGCTGAATTCCAATCACAGTTGCTGCTGTCGCCAGGAGTAGGACAAGCTGTCTGGGCTCAAACATTAACAGCCCTTTCTAACAAGAGACCATTAGGAACAAAGAAATGTCACAGAGATCTTCCCCTTATATAATCAGATTAATTAGAAGTATTAAGAGTGTGAGATAAATATTGAAATCTACCTGAAATATTGTGTCACAGAAAAATTTACCTTTGTGCAAACAGTTTTACAATTATACAATACAATGTTCATAGATAACTGTACTTATATTGATGTTGACCATTTATCTCTTGCAGGTGGAATATTTATCTTGAGTCTGTATGATTTGACTTGATTTTTCTCAACTGAATAAGCCTGTTCTTGAACACTTCAAAGAAGAATATCCATTCTGTTTTTCTTTTCCTCCCATGGTAGAAAGCAATACTCCAAGAATCAGCCATCGAGAGGAGAGCCTGTATTAACGAGTCTGTATGATTTGACTTGATTTTTCTCAACTGAATAAGCCTGTTCTTGAACACTTCAAAAAAGAATATCCATTCTGTTTTTCTTTTCCTCCCATGGTAGAAAGCAATACTCCAAGAATCAGCCATCGAGAGGAGAGCCTGTATTAACGTAACTTCCTCCTGATGTAAAGTGAGATTTTAGGCATGCCATCCCTTCTGAAAACTTTGTCTTTTCTATCTAGCCAGTATTTCCCATCTCTTTCTAAAAGTTATAGAGGTGATAGGCTCTAAATTCTCTAGGCTCTTTTAATTGACATTCATCACCTCCTTTTTTTTTTTTTACAGCCTTTAGTGCAATGAACAGGTAAATTTACAGATACTCTGTCTGACATATCATCCCCTAGATGGAAATGTTCCAGCTATAAACTCCTCCAGATCCAAGAAAACTTTGCTGTCACACACTTAGAATATTATGCAGCAGGAACTTCTGGTCACTTAACACAGTATTCCAGACAGCAGGTGTTTGAAAAGTGTTAACTCCAAACAAATCTTAATTAAAGGTGAATTTTTCTAATTTATGGAACGTGTCATTGTTAACTGAAAGGTGGAGACTTTTGGCATGGAGGACAAGGAACTTTCCTGATATCTGTTTCTTGCATCATTGGCTCCAGTTCCTACCATTCTCCCTTCCACTGCAGAAATTTAGCATTTAAGGAGGAAAAAAGGCACCGGTAGTCTGAGTTGAGACATTGTCTGCAGAAAAGAGAGATGTGAATTCTAGATATTATTATTAATCCCTCCTCAGATGGCTAAACTTCAGACATCGGGAGAAACTACATGGAGTCAAGGTTAAACACTAAGAAAAGTACAGGTGAAGCATATAAAAGGATCATTTACTCTAGTAGTTCCCAATTTCTGGGCCATAGAACCCAAGGATGCTCTGAAATTACTGCAAAAGGCCTGTCACTCCCAAGCAAACAGAAAGGACATTGTTGGGTGGGAGGGGGGAGACAGAGGAGGGAGGGAGGTTTCAGTAATGGGCCACAATAATCAACCACATTGTATATTGACAAAATAAAATTTTAAAAAAAAAAGGGTGCCTGTCACTCCTTTTTACCTTTAAAAGGTATATTTATATTAGAAAAGGTTGAGAGACACTGAATGTGTATTAATTTGTAGCTAAACATAAGACTGTTTCACAGTGATAAGAAATAAGAAATGGTTTATCAATGGGAAAAATCATGGTGATAGAAACTGAAATCATTTTCCTTACTTCCTTAACATGCAGAAAATCTTTTGCTTCAAATGAGATGGCCATGCCTGGCACCGGGACATCATCTTCATGGGCTGCACTGTAGCTGACATTTGTCCGAACTGCAAATGCAACGGGTTTTGTCTAAAGAGGTAAACGGAAGGGAGAAAAAAATAAATAATAGTGTTCCTCCCTCCCCATCCCCAATACAGTTTCACTGAATAACTGTTGTAGTTGTAATCATCTTTTTTTTTCCCCCCTACCTTGGTCCTCTATCACAAAGTAGCTTGTTAGTAGTCACAACATGTGAAATCTTCTAGCTCTCAGCTATATACCACCCATTTCTGAGCTAGAAACAAGTCATCCTTCTCTCTGAAAGCACTACAAGTAATGAAGGTGAAGGTGAACTACTGAAATATGTGTTTACAACATAACAGCTCATGACAACTGGAAATTAGGAAACAAATAAAATGCCCAGTTATTTTGTTTTGCTGGGAAAGATTTACTTGGTAACTTCTCCCTACCCCCAACACTGACTGTGTTTTAATTAATCATTAATGGCATAATTCCAGAAGGTATAATATTTTGGATGAAAAAAAAACAGGGAATATAAGCTACAACTATTGCAACTATTATTCATTGCCACAGGGAATTATGAAAACAATGGCCTTTTATCCTATTATTCTTCTTTTCTTGAGTTTGCTAAGTCAACTACAGATGATAACATTCATGAAGCTGTCCTTCATTATTTGATGCTTTGAATATTTATAGATAAGCACTGGTCCTCTATCTAGGCAACACCTGTTTATCCACAGGATGAAAAAAAGGTAAACCCAAAAAGGATGAAAACAGGTATTGTCCTAACTGATATTGTATTTCTTTCACATTATGGGCAAGTGGTTTTCTTCTGAGCAGTTTCTCTACTCAGTGAGTTCTTCATCTGGGAGCACTTCATGGGGGAGTCAGAATAGAAAGAAATTATTTTTATTTGCAATTTTCCAGTTAATCCAGTCTACCTGACTGTTGTCTGGGTTGGGGGCTAAGCTAAGAGCCCTGAAGTTACTCAGGTCCACCCAAAATTTGCAGATTGGAAGAGAAGGACAAAGTTCTGGATACAGGCACAGTAGACATGAAGTGGATTTAAATATTTGAAAGCCAATTCCTGGTAGCTAGTACAATTTTTAATGCTACAAGTGGTGCTGTGCTCCTTGTATGAAAAGTTTTAGAAGCATATAAAGAAAAGTTTTCCACTTTTTTCTTGGAATTTTCTTAAATATATGAATTTTATTACCAGAGATACAATCATAATATATTTGATTTTTATCCAGTTTTTAAAGTAATATAGTATTTTTCATGTGATATGCTTTTTAATCTACCATTTAAAAAAATTATCTCAACACTTGCCCTGTTTTGACCTTTTGAGTTACAACTTTTTTCTAATATGATACATATTCTTCGAAAAATCTTTGCACAAAAAGCCTCTTTATATTTAAAATTCTTCCATTAGGATAGATTCCCAGAGGTAGCATGAGTAAGCCATGAGTTACTAAGACCTTTTTAAATTCTATTCCAAACTGCTGTCCAAATGGGCTGCACCATTTCATACTGCAACCAGTAAGATGGTGCCCTTTTCAATAAGATGTAGTCTTAATCAGACTGTTTTACCACTAGGAATAGAATTTTCTTTAGTAGATCTACCCATTATTCAGGAAAGTTTCTGATTACAGAAGTATAAATCCAAGATTTCTTTCTTTTCTCTTTTTTTTTAATGTTAGCATGGTCTTTCACTTCTTTCAGGGTCTTTCTTTTATTCTTTGAAAGATACATTGTTTTAAGTGTAGCATACATTTTTTCAACAATATAAGACATACATTTTTAATGTACAACCCTACAGAGGACCCCATAGAAAATCTATCTTTTACCAACTTTGATCAACTTTTCAAACTTTTGAGTAGCAGAGAGGAGACACTGAAAAATAAAGGGGTGATGAAGGCTGGCATATAATTTTGGGGGCCACAGATAATACACTGGAGTAAGTCAAGGGGGAGGGAAGATATAATCAAGATAAGAGAGTTTAACAGCTTGAGAGAAAGACCCCAGAATGCTAACTAAAGGGTCCAAATGCCAATGTCACTTTTGATTCCCTGACCTCACTTCAGTTCTATGTAGCTGAAGTAATAGTCTACAACATGGAAGGTATTTTCCACATTAATTTTATTTATATGGATTCAAGAACAGGGGATTTTATTTTTTATTTTTTTTATTCTTACATATTTTATTTCATTATATCAGGCAGATTTTTAAACATTAACTTATCAATATACAATGTAGCAATGTAGTTGTTTTTCTTGTCCTTTTACCAGTTCCACTTACCCCCCTCCCCCTCCCCCCATCTACATTGTATCTGTTCACTCGTCTTAACAAGTTCCTGGAATAAGAACAGGGGATTTTAAATGGACCCAGATATGTTGATTCTACCATTTCCTAGTTGAGTGACCTGGGCAAATTCCTTAGTGTCATTGAGCATGTTTTCTCATGGCTAAAGTGAGAGTAATAACACCAATCTTGCAATGTTGCTATGTGATTACGGAAAATGCATGTCACAAGGCCAGGCTGGTGTTTTGTGTATATAGAGAGTACTCAATAAATGGGCACTCACTACATGCCAAAGTAAATACTATACACAAATGCTTCCCCGTCAAGTAAGGTCCAGCACAAATCATTTCTTCTGTGCTCTTCCACTACAACCCCCCTCAGCCCAAATTAGTTAACACAGTTTAATGCCTGCCATATGATACATGCTAAATCACCATTATATTCGAGATGTTTTTCTCCAGTGTGGATTTGTTCATATTCTCTAGGATACAAGAAATGGTAAGGTTTCCCCAAATTCATTTTCCTTACAGTGTTCTATCTCTTTAATTCTGATGTTCTTTGATAGCCCTCAGATACTGAGGCTTCTTTTTTACCCAACTTGAAGTTCCAAGGGAGCATTCCTTAAGAATTCCATGGGAATTTTGATCCCATGAAACCATTCTTTATCAAACATATCCTGTTTTAAGTTGACATCTTCATTTTTGGCCTAATCTCTGTATGGTCACATGGAACTTCTTCCTCTCATCATTCAGGGATCTCGTCCTGGTTCCCACTCGGAGATTCACTTTCATTCTGGAAGCGTACCAGATGGTATGGGCCCTGAGATGTGGTTTAGCTCTCCTCTATTTCACTCTCATGTGATCCATCATAAAACTTGTTGAATATAGCTGATTCTTGGGGCATGAATGTTTTGAGGCCAGTGGCCTTTTACTCTCCCCCCCCCCACCCCCCTTCTTAAGGTACAGCAAAGTCCTGAGAAGCAAGAACAAACAGGAACCGAGAAACCTTGGCCCTACAGAGGTCTCGTGGCAATACCAGGAAGAGTGGGCATTGTAGTAACAGACTAATACAGTGCTCTGGGACATGCTGGGAACAAGGAAGTGTTCTAGACTTCAAGGGAAGCAACGCTTGACCAGACCCAAAACCAAAAATAATGGTGAGCTCCGAAAATTGGATTCTGCCCCAAGTCGTAGGTTCCCCTTTAAGCTGTCCTCTTCCCCCACCCTCTAACTCCAGAGCCTCCCACATTTATCTGAAAGGCTTGGTCATGTCTGGAGGATAAGGTGGGGAAGAAAGGCAGAATGCATAGATATGGAGCCCACAGCCATATGGTCCCATAGAAGGAGCTTCCAGGACTGGCTGTTGCAGGATTGTACTTACATCCAAATTTAGATTTAGATTTAGATTGATCCTACTGTACAGAATGATTAGGATACTAAGTTGGTTGGAAGACAATATGGTCTTTAATTCCATTTTCATTCGACACTTTTAATATCCTAAGCACTTTATTGTCAGTCCAAGGTCATAGCTTGAGTCTGCTTTTGCTGTCTCCTTCTACCTGACTTCCTGGTTAACTTTTTTTATTGCTATGGAGTGCCAGGCACAGGAGGTAGAGGCATATTATTCTATCAGTTTTTGCTTCTGTCTCATGGAAAGGTAAAAAGGAATTGATTCCTCTCCCTGTTTTTGGTAGCTTCTCTCTGGCACATGGGCATATGCTATGTAGCTTAAGGGTGACTGCTAAATCATCTGGGCTCTGTCGCCCCCTTTCTGGGCACAAATAATTAAAAATTTGTGGCACGTTAGCTTGTGGACTAAACCTGAACAGATTCTCAAAACAAATCAATAAGTACCATCTGTAGAAGAGTAGCATCTCATTATCCACACAATAATATAAAAGTGCTTTAAAAACACTAAGGCTATATCTCGTTCACCACCGTATATTCAGTCTGTCTGTTTAAAATTAATATTTTTGAGAAAGGAATGAGTAAGTGATACAGATGTTAAGACATTCTCATTCTTCTCTTCCAGGTCCTTCCTCACCTTGTACATGGCACGATTTATAGTAAAATTATGAAAGCAATCACTTTGGGAATATCTGCCAAGTGACAGGCAGTGTGTTGTATATAATGCATAGATTGCTGCCTTTAATTTAATCCCAGCAACAACTGCTTTTACCAGATGAGGAAATTGAGGCTCAAAAAAGATCTCCCAGGCAGTAAGCAATGGAGGTGTTATTCAAATCTAACTGTCTCACTCAAAACCCTGAGTTCTTTCTGCATTCCGGGCTGCTTTTCATTCAAAGGGGTACAGTGATGGCAATTTTAGAGCATTTGGATGTCTGTTGTGAAATTTTGAAGACTTGAAAATTATATTTTACAGGTGTTATTCAAATCTAACTGTCTCACTCAAAACCCTGAGTTCTTTCTGCATTCCGGGCTGCCTTTCATTCAAAGGGGTACAGTGATGGCAATTTTAGAGCATTTGGATGTCTGTTGTGAAATTTTGAAGACTTGAAAATTATATTTTACAAAATGCTAAAAAATTGGTGGGTATAGAAAAAGGTTAAAAAATTAGGCCCAAATCTGCCACATATTTCTGCATCTTTGCACTTAAATCATTTTGAGATGCAGGAAACAAAAGTAATGTCAATCATGACTTCTGTTTATTTGGATATAAATTTTCTTTCTTCACATCTCTTTTTCACAACCTATAAAGCTATTTTTATAGCGTAAGAATTGAGATATTAAAATATACAGGGTTTCATA